CTGATCTTTATAAAAACCTGCTGAATTCATTGTTCATGGATAAACAGGGCATTGCCTCTTCTGCAACTATGATGTTAAAACACTGTGTTGCGTCATGAATCAAACAATCAGTGAATCAAGTTCACCCACACGCATTTCTCTGTGATGATGATGAACAAAAACCCACACAGGAGTCGTCTCACTGATGCAGACCTTCACTCCATCTTGAGGGTTTCCACAGCACAGAACCTAACCCCAAACTTTAATGAACTGGCAGCCAAGAAAGGATGCCAAACATCTGGCTCTGGCACATGTACATAAAAGAAGAATGAAGCCAACCTGCATATGTTTTCTTTTTGCACTTTATCCAACATCATGTCTATCCTGTTTAATAAATGTTGACTATGTTTGGCCCTCGACGTAGTCCCAGTTTTTAATTTTGGCCCTCTCTGTGATCGAGTTTGACACCACTGGTCAACAACAATGCCATTTTGCACACAAGATGGAAGTAACATGGTGGTGTGTGATATCTGCTCTTTTTCTTATACAACCAAGTACTCGCAATTTGGTTCAAGGATTATCTGCAGGAATTTGCATTTCAGTGACTGAACAATCAGTGCAATGTTTTGTTTGGTGTTTACTGTTAACGACCACCATAGTGACAGCATAGTGCTGAGTGTATAGATACGAGCCTGTTGATACCCGACTGAATGACTGCAAAGGTGCATGGGAGATGACATTTACAGATGGCACTATGAATCAAGCTTGACAGACGAGGAATTTTCTTCTATGACAATGATCCCAAGCCCACTGCAAAAATCACAGTGTTTTATAAGTTACAAACAAAATACTTTCTTCAACCAAAACCGACAGAAGTATTGTATATATTGAGTAATTTAAGGTTAAAGGTACAGTGAAACATTCCTTCCAGCAGAGAGGAGCTGAAAAGAATACTTGTGCAAGGAAGTTATCCTCCATCCCAAGCAGGATCCAATTTGTCATAAAAAACAAGATTTACAAAAAAGTCACCGGTGAACAACTTGACTTTTGTTGAAGGTGGTTCTTAAGTATGGACTTTCATGTGTAAATAGTTCGATTTGTTGTTCAAATTTATTGGCTTCATTCATTGACTAAAAACACTATAACATGGTATGGCTCAGTAACTACGTAACATCTTAGTGATGCTGACCAAAAACACTTATACAGTGTACACCACTTATACACCACAGCATGATGGGTAGAGTAATTTGTTGTATTTAAATGTTTCAATCAGGGCTTTGTTGCATCTCGATCTTTCGTGACAACAATTCTGCAATATTTGCTTTAATAGACCGCAACTGAGCCCCAAGCTCTCCCCAAGCTCCATCCACAAATAAAGATCATGCCAAATACCTCAAGACAAACTGCACACACACAGAATAAAGAACAAATGCATTTATGCAAACCCAGTCCTGAAAAAAAACATTGTGTTTGCAGTGTTTCCCCTAGGATAGTGTTGTAGCAGCGGAGATGAAACACTGATTTTACTAATTGCATTAGTACTGTACAAAGTTAGAGGTGCGCTATTTGAT